CAACAGAACTTATCCAACCCTCTCAAGGACCAGCATACACATGCTTAAGGCTAGTTATATGCTTCCTTTTCCATTTCTGCCTTGCAAAACCATAATTAGGTTTTATACTAATTCTAGGTTTCTGTGACAAAATTGCCAAGCTCACTTTTCTACAGGCTTTTAAAAAAAATAGTTAGCTATTTCTGCCACTCTTTAGATCAAGGTGTGTATGTATTGTGTAAGTTGCTGCCTGCTTAAATTGTAATTTTACTGTCTGAAGCAGCATTTTTATATATTCCATCACTTCTATTTCATATAATAAACTAAGTTTTCTTTATTCCTTTGGTGTGTGGGAACTTCTTGTGGGTAAACACATATTCATAAGTGCAAGTCATAACTCCCGCAAAAGATCCTAAACCTCTTGTTGGTATATGGACACACATGAGTGCTTAAACACACATGCTGGTTCATGACCCATACTGTAACACTACACATATCCAGTTTTTTTGTGTGTGCGCAACCTGTACATATTTAGATTTGCAATGAACTACCTGCTTTCATTTGTACAAGGGTATGATCTGGTCATACAGTTTCCTGAATATGCAGAGGATGGAGACAAGAACACAATGTTCTCACCACAATATTCTTAGTCACTCACTTACATTGTCTGGAAACTTACTATCCCTATGTGATATACAGTGGTACCTCGGGTTACATACGCTTCAGGTTACATGCACTTCAGGTTACAGACTCCGCTAACCCAGAAATAGTGCTTCAGGTTAAGAACTTTGCTTCAGGATAAGAACAAAAATTGGGCTCCAGCGGCGCGGCGGCAGCAGGAGGCCCCATTAGCTAAAGTGGTGCTTCAGGTTAAGAACAGTTTCAGGTTAAGAACGGACCTCCAGAACGAATTAAGTACTTAACCCGAGGTACCACTGTATTAGCATTTTGCCATATGTAGTCCCTATATGTATATCAGCTATGGTGTCCCAGGAGCTAACACAGCAGGCCTTCTGGTTAACTAGTCCTAGATGTGTGTTGTGTCATATTAAGCAATATAGGTTCTATTGGATAATTAATGAGATGCGGAGTGGGAGGTGGAGAAGAGAACCATGTGTACTACTTGAGTTCCTTGGAGGACACGGCAATAGCAAGGAGGTAGGTAAACTTAATTCAGACATTATGTCAACTCATGGTTAAGGAAGGTAAGTAATCAGAAAGAAAACCAGAATTCAAAAAAACCCACCATTGTCTGAAATGGATTTGCAAGTCATGGTTTGTGCTTACTGTACTGTACTTTGGTGTAAAATATGAACTGACAATCCACAGTTAGAGTCATAGTGTGGCATGATGTCTGAACTGAGCCTCCAGAAGACAACTGACCTAGATTATCTGTTTTCATTTTCATTTTTTATATGTATAATTTTCAAAGAAGGAGAAAACCACCTGAAACTAGCCTTTACACTGCTGCAATCATGCTACACGTTATACAATTTTATTTTCAGTAGAAATTAATCCCTCCAAATAAACATTTACTGAAGCTATTTGTGGCAGGAGATAGCGACAAAGACAGATTCCACCAATGCTTGTTACAGATAAAGTTATCTGAATCTCATATTAGCAGTTCTGGCTTATCTGACCCCTCCAAAAATTATAATGTCTGAACCAGACAATAATAATAATTAGCTTCTCACTTTCTATTGCCATGACTCCAAATGTGTCAAGGTTTGTCAACTGTGAAAGATAATGAAAATAGTTAAACCTCTCATTCCTTGTTTCTTTACCCAAAATCCCAAGATTTAAAACTTGAATTAAAAACGGGTTCTGAAAGCTTCTTTTAACTGAATCAAAAGAAATGCAAATATACACAACTACTTTCTCCTAGAACGGACATTATTGTAAGAATAATATTCAGCACAAACAGCCCCAGAAAAGCATTGCAGAGCTCCCCAATTCTATCTTTCTGTAACAATAGTAGGAATTAAAATGTGGATTCTGCAGTCAATAAAAGTCTGCTGGAGGATTCTGGATTGACATCTTCTTTTACACATCAAATTAGGACACTGTTTGGCCTCAAGTCATTTCTGATGCAGCCAATCTTTCAGTAGCATTGTTGATGCTACTGAGGAATGTCTCACATTTTATAAACAGCCATAAAGGTAAACGGAAGGTAATGTTTAGGTTACTGCCAACAATACTGAATATTTCTATCCATAGGATCATACCAAGGGGTTTTTAAATTCAGGAAAAGGCACAAATATGAAGGAAAAGAAAGAAATGAATTACCTTATTCTTATTTTTCATTAGAAAGAGCAGATTTCCTTTCAGACGACACCATCTCTCTCTTGGCTCTGAATGCAAAAGCAGCATAGTATTAATAATAATGACGATGATGAAGATAACAATAAATAATACCCTCCTCTCTTCATATATTTCTTCTTAAAGAAGATGCATTTCTAATGGGGAATTCATTAATGAAAAATCAGCTTCACTTGGCAGCTGACTTATAACATGCTGCTAAATGTCAGATTAACTTCCCAGAAGCTTTCAGTTATCCTGCAGCTGACAGAATTAGAGACTGCAGCATACACTCGGTGATGATTTCTTTTGCTTTGTTCCATTTTGCAAAAGGGAACACAGACTGGCTCTTTTGCATGAGACAACCATGCAAACTTTGCTTCAGCAGATGAACCTTACTGGGAAAACTCAATATTTATTCTTTTCACTGGGTTGTTACAGACTTAATTGATTTATTTTACTCTAAACAACACACATTGTACAGGCAATATTTGGATTATTTTTGTCATTTCTAAAAACATCAACACAGTGATATGAGGACATAAGCACAGGATGGGGTGCTCTGCATGACAAGGTGGGCTAGAATTAAGCTTGTCTTCAGAGATTAACACACTGTGTTAAAAACCAGTGCCAGCCAGAAGCTTTTTAAAGCTGCACCCCCCCATAAGATGGTGTTCAATATAAAAAGGTAAAGGGACCCCTCACAATTAAGTCCAGCCACGAACGACTCTGGGGTTGCAGCGCTCATCTCGCTTTACTGGCCTAGGGAGCTGACGTTTGTCCACAGACAGTTTTTCTAGGTCATGTGGCCAGCATGACTAAGCCGCTTTTGGTGAAACCAGAGCAGCACACGGAAATGCCGTTTACCTTCCCGCTAGAGCAATACCTATTTATCTACTTGCACTGCCTCCTTTCAAACTGCTAGGTTGGCAGGAGCTGGGACCGAACAATGGGAGCTCACCTCATCACGGGGATTCGAACCACCGACCTTTTGATCGGCAAGCCCAAGATGCACAGTGGTTTAACCCACAGTGCCACCAGTGTCCCTGTTCAATATAACTAATACCTATTAAAACATCAGAGACTTTTGTCACTTTAAAAGACACTTTAAAAGTGTCTTTTAAAACACAAAAACATATGCCATGATAGATTTGCTGGTCTTTAAGGTACCAAAATACCTTATCCAAGTTGACAGGTGTATACTGTATAAACATAGTTGTGTTGGAAGAAAGGTTGTAATCAGGCGAGTTCAAGGAAATGAAATGCCGAAAGGACAGACTTGGATATGTTAGAACTCAAATGCATCTGAAACCGTTACTGTAACCATTGACAAAGCAAGGTTGAAAACACAAACATCCTGGTATTGGAAAGCTAATTCATGTCCCTAGTGAGTTAAAAAAAATAATAACTTGATTCAGGCCACAGGAGATAGAAATGAACTTGATGGGTGGGGTAATAGAAAAACCCAGCTATCTTCAGAAAACTGATCTCCTACATCAGTTATTACAAAATAAATAAAATTTCCATATGCTTCAACTGCCTGTTTATCATGAACAGTCCCTATGTCGTAACCTCTGTTCCATATTTTTGACTTTTGGGAATCCCTTGCTCAAATATGTTAACAGGCAATACTGTACTACCACTGCCATCCTCCATGGGGTTAAAGCTTCCTCCACATGATCTCTAGAAGTTAAAACTCTGAGTCTGCAATCCCATATTTATTTACCTGGCAGTACAGTAAGTCCTACTGAACTCAGTGGGGTTTCATTCTGATTCAACATGTTTAGGACTGCACTGTGAATGGAGATTGGCTGTGTCTCATCTCTAGCCCACAGTCTAGAGTGAAACAGTCGGTTAGACTACATTTTGTACTGCTGATAATGTATTATCCTTTTGCTAGTAGATGTTTTACAGAAAAACAACCATTCTCTTAGCTTGTAAATCACAGGGGTAGGTACAGAGTTCAATGCTTAAGGAATGCAGTGGACAACTTACACCAGTATGCAATGGGGAGCAGGGCGAGGCTTGCAAAATTCTCTTTGGCATGAAATTAGGAGAGTTGCACAGAATGTATTTTTGTCAGTGAAATGTAGGCTGGTATGAATTTCTAGCACTGCCAGCAGCAAAAATATGGGGTTCTATCCATTACTGCCTATGCAGAATTCTGCTCACACAATGGAACTTTCCATTCTTCTCCTCCCCCTGCAAACCCACAAAATTTGCTCCAGAGGGTGCTCCAACTCTCTGCAGCAGATTTTGAGGTGGGAGGCTGCAGGACTCAAGAGAGAAATAAGAAGTTCTGTTGTGCAAATAGAAATTTGTAACAAAAGTGGAACAACAGCATTAGGTATATTCCATGGGGAATGATATGTTGTGTAATGCATTCTTTTTAATTTTGTCTTGGTTGTTTGCAATGTATGGGGGTGACTTTATTCTGTTGTTATCTGCTGTTATTTTGTTGATAGTATGTTGCATATGTGAAGTGGATTCTTGAGTTATTTATTTTTTACTTGTTCATGGTTATGTTTTGAATTGTAGATTTTTTTCTCAGTCTTCTTCGGTCCAGACTATGTCTGTTTATTGTCCAAATCAAATTATTTTATCAAACAGATATTTCCAGCTTGTGAGAGTGAATTTGGAGACTGCCAGCCGTGCCGTGCTCTAGGACCCAGCGTCCTGCCGCTTGCACCTTGATGCCAGCTGACAAATCTCTGAAGACCTGCGGGTCTACGAGACAGTCCTCCCCTACCCTGGGGGTGGCAATGTGCCATTTAATGTATTTGTTGACATTTCTGCGGGTTGCGAACCATCACATGGAAATGAATGCGGAACAGAGCTAAACAAAGTTAAAATGAAACAAAAATGAAAAACAGATCTGAACATCTCAAGCCCAAATATAGTGATGGTTCCAAAGACAATGACAAGATGGAGTGGTTAAGGACAACTTTGTACTCTTACTTGCAATTAAAATAAAAACAAAGAGGAAGGTGTGCAAAATAGGCAAATGCATGCAAATTAGTTCAATTTAAGAGGCCACAGAACTCAACTTTTCTTGGCCCAGAATTAGGTTAGTTCCATTAAGTGTTTTGACCATCTTGTTGTAGTTGTTAGCATCAACCCAAATGTACTGAGGGAAGAACAAGGGCTGGTTGTGAAAATGTGTAGGCCTTCCCATTCATTTTAGCAGCTCCTTGCACTGTCTGTGCTCCTAAACATGCATAGCGCCCAGAAACTAAGCCTGTTTCTCCCCAGCATGCAGAAAGCATGCAACTTGATAAGTAGTTTGATATAACACACAAGAAGATAACTTCTCTCATTCCCCTATGTAAATTAATCCAGTTAGCAACCAGCAGCAGGACTATTACTTTCATCTTTGTTTGCACATACCAGTGAGAGTCTAATCCACCATAGCTATGGCAGAAAAGCAATTACTTAGAAGGTGTTTAGGAGCACTCAGCCATTAGCAATGAAGAAAACGGATTATACCAGCAAATCTGTGAATACTAAAACAGTGAGCAGACAACAGCTGCCAAACATACGTGCACAGACGACTGCCAATGCCAACTATTTTTACCTATACATTTACCATCCCTTAGCATTCTGCATATGGTCAGTTTTCCTTCCTTGTCAAAACAAGATGATGGCCTTCTAGCCAGAGAAATCAATTCTTTGACATTGTATTGCATCTGGCTGATCGTGAAGAAGATGAAGAGGAAATGGATGATAACAGGGATGCTAATGAACTGGTTGAAAGTGAGCAAGATCTTTTCAGCAGACAAGGCCAACTGCAACATTAAAACAAAAACATAAAGGTGTAGTACAAAATTGCATTGTGATGTCTTTCCATAGCTTTTCTTAGGGTTACTAGCTAGTTGTTGTTGTTTTAATGTACCTGCCTAGCTGCCTGGGATTTCATGTATCAAGTCATCAATTAAATCTGCATAAGCTTCCATATGAACACAACATTTCTGAGTCAAAAGTCCCATTCTTTAAATTTTTGGATGATTGCATATCACAGATGGCACTACTTTAGAAGACACATTCCCTTATGTACAAAAGAGGAGAAACATATCTTCCAAGGTACTGCCTGTCACCTGCAGCTTTGTAAGTGTTCATATTAGACACTATATAGATAGATGATAGATAGATAGATAGATAGATAGATAGATGATAGATAGATAGATAGATAGATAGATAGATAGATAGATGATAGTAGCTCAAAACAGCTAGAGGACAGCAGGTTGAGGAAAAGTGGTCACAAATCCACAGATTTCAATTAGTCTACCTTAAACAGAATACAGCTTTACTTCTATAACCACTTACCTGGCAGTAATCCCACTGAACTCCATTGAATGTACTACGTGTGTGTGTGTGTGTGTGTGTGTGTGTGTGTGTGTGTATGATTGCTTAATCAATTGCTGAATCTTCTAAACAATGAATTAACTAAAAGGTCATAGTTCTAGTTTTTTCTTGAACTGTAGTTCCTGAGTACAGGGAGTTGTGGGGGTCTTGCTTATCCTAGAGTGAACATCTAATATTGCAACAGTCTAGAAGGTCCCTCTAGCGTCCCTCTTTTTGCTGCTGAACTACAGCTCCCTTCATCACTGACCATTGTCCATGCTGGCTGGGGCTTATGGGAGATGCAGTCCAACAACATCTGGGGAACACTGGGGTTGACATTTACATGGTAGATATCATGTTGCAGAGATCAAGTTTGGCCACTTTTTTTAACAACTGGTGCGCCATCTTTCTAAAGGCTAAATGTCAGAGACCTTCTAACATTGTACAATTTCTCAATGGAGATGTGGCCATCAAAAATATTATTAGGTCTTTAGAAATAAGACTTATTCTCACCTCCAAACAACAAAAATGCTGTCCCGCAACCAGTCTGAATCTTCTGTTTAGTAATCCATGCTATGTTACAAAAAAATCCACAACAACCCCCCACACACACCCAATTCTTATTACATGTTCCCATTCACACCAGATGTGCCCCTCGGTTTTCGGACATGGTGAGTTCAATGCTGATTAAACTCACACAACAGTACTGCTGCAATCTAATTCACAGCCCTCAAGCCTGCATTTCTTACAACAACCACACTGGGTAATCAATAATGGAATGCCTGGGGTTACATGCAGTTATAACCTTGAAACAGTGCAAGTCAGGGTCCTAAGAGTTACAAACTAGGAGCCCATAGTTTATTTAGAGCATGGTTTCAAAGGAAAGATCTTTGTAGTTCCAAAATCTATAAATGATCTCAATCACTATGGAAAAAATGACACTCTTGGCTCCAGGTACCATATAGTGGCTGGGTGAGAAAGGATATCTGCAGGTTGATGAAGGCAGACCAAGGGGCAATCACTAGCGGATAAAGCATGAGACTCTCAGTATCAGGGTCGTGGATTCAAGTCCTGCATTGATTCCTGCACTGCAGAGTGTTGGACTAGATGACCATTGTGGTCCCTTCCAATTCTACAATTCTATAATTGCAGCTGCCTATATTATTACCACATCTCTCTTCCCTTATGTAAGCACATTTAGCTTGACACCCTCTCTCCCTCCCTCATCAAATGGTAGGGTAAATCAGTTGCTAAAAGACTGAGTAAGATTTCTTCTCTCAACCTGCACTGCCATGGCAGGGTTCTCACCTACACTACACGGACCTGATCAAGGAGGAACATGACAACTAAGATAAATTCAGTTCAATAATATAATCACACTGGGCACAGACAAAAAATAAAAGCAAGAAAGAATGGTGAGCCCCAACCTTTTTGAGCCTTGAGGCACATTTTGAAATCTAATAAACTGTTGTGGGCATAAGCGTAAAGGAAAAGGGACCCCTGAACGTTAGGTCCAGTCGTGGCCGACTCTGGGGTTGCGGCGCTCATCTCGCTTTACTGGCTGAATACTGGCTTATACAGCTTCCGGGTCATGTGGCCAGCATGACTGAGCCACTTCTGGCGAACCAGAGCAGCACACGGAAACACCGTTTACCTTCTCGCTGGAGCGGTACCTATTTATCTACTTGCATTTTGACGTGCTTTTGAACTGCTAGGTTGGCAGGAGCAGGGACCAAGCAACGGGAGCTCACCCCGTCGCGGGGATTCGAACCACCGACCTTCTGATCGGCAAGCCCAAGGCTCAGTGGTTTAACCCACAGCACCACCCGCGTCACCTGTTGTGGGCATAACTCACCACAAAACACATACAACGGGAACAAAAAAACAGGCAACCGCCACTCCTGCAAAGGCCAACTCTACAAATGACCCCTTGCAAAAGGCAAAAGCCTCACGTTAAACAAAATAAAAATAGGAGGAGCAGGGAACCTTGGCAGGTGCCAATGGGAGTGTCTGTGGGCACTATGCAAACTTCCACTTGAAACCATATAGTTTAGTGAAGGGGATTTCATCAGACCAGTCTATTGGGGCAACAGGATCAGAAAAATGGATCAGGAACACCCTTGGAACTTCCCTGACTCATACATCCAGAGTTTGTTGGCTCAACTTAGAAAGGTTGCCCCACATAGGTACACCCTTGGTATACCAGGAGCTGTGCAAAATGAATTATAGGAGGCACTGAGCTGACTACAGAGTTGAAGTTCCCCAGCAATCTGTATTTGTTAATGGGAAAGCTCACTGGCACAGTTGGATCAGGTGAAGTAATGGTTTGTTGCAGATCCAAACAATCCTCTTTATTCACTGATGCATCCACAATAATCACACAGTGGAAGCCACAAACAGTGTTGCGTAAGTGAGTACTCAAACCAAACTAGAGCAAGCTGTTGAATTTTTTAAAGCTACACTACACTTTATTCGTAAATGTCAGAATCAACAGCTGTCGCCACTAATAAAAACAGACAAACATTGCTTTACTGATACAACCCTAGGTCACAGCCACTCATCCTCGCAACATAACTTTATAAAACCACCATTTCCCTATAAAGCAATCACCTTTCTCTCCCCACCGCAAAAAAAATAAAAAATTTAAAAATGCATCCCACTAAGGATCCATATTTCTGTAAGAGAATTTGAATAAATAATAAACAGCATTTTGCTGGTTTAGGATGACTGCCAAGCAGAAGCAGCTTTAAAGTAAAAGCTCAAAGCTATGGCTGCAGGGAGGTCAGCAGTGGCAAAATCAAATGTTCCTGCCTCTTTTCATGGTGATTTGCATAGTACTAAAATAAAGCTTTGAACATATTCTTCCAAACTTTCATTTTTTCCCCAGGCTGAATACTTGGAATCTCTCTTCAGCACTCACAAAATCAGATCTCAGTGTTTCAGTGCTCTACTTAGCTGGGTTTAATTCAAAGCAGTTAGATTTGGTATTAACATTACTGCAAATGTACTTTTTAGATTGCATAGGTTCTCAGTATCTCATAAGTTTTAACTGTTCTGGTTTTCACTGTCTGTCTATTATGGTCCTCCTGTTGCATGAAACCGATTAGTCATTCCTTTCTTTAAAAACAAACAAACCATTCCAAGACAATTTTGTAGGTATGTCCTCACGTGAATCAGCTATCCTTTCCTGCCCGATGTAACTTTGCTTTCAGATCAGCAAGTCTTTCATTGGAATCAATCCATTCTCTGTGGACACAAATAAATACCCTATGCTAATGATGGATAATATTCTTTCAATAAATGGCAGCTGAAAGGTATTGGGCCTAGTCACAATGAGACAAAGTAAATAATATGCTTCTATTTATTCCAAATGGAGAGAAACAACACATACTTATCCTTATGTCCAATTTCTGTTCATACATGCAGCAAACAACTGGTGCAATATAATTACCACCCTAGTACCAAAACACCTACCTAATTCTTGGCCAGTTATAGTTCAGACAACACAGTTTGGAATATGCAAACCAGGTGCTTCAAATCATGCCAGGTGCCCTGAATAAAGGTAAAAACCTGAGTGGAATGAGATTTTTAAAGTCCTCACAATGTCCCATAGTGCTTTCCTCTCAGCTGTACAACCACAGATGAGTTACAAATGATATTAATATGTAGCTCTTCACTACTTCCAGATTAAGAGAAAAATGTAAACAGCTAAAACTATTTCCGACCGCATTAAGAAGAAACCTTTTAAACGGTCAAAGCATACATAAAATTAAAAATGTTAGGCAAGCTGTGAGATTACTGAACATTTTAAAACACTATGGTTTGATTGTGATCTATTTAAATTGCCAGAAGATATGGAGTAGCTTGTCATGTTAATGGAGACAAAGTACAAAATTTTAGAGTATCTTCTACAGTCCAGTAAGATTATGTTCAGAGAAACTGATGAAAATTAAGACTTCCTTCCACTTATTGAAGAAAGGAGTAATCTTGGCATAGGATTTTCTAAGCTTCAGAACAGCATGTGGGTTTGACTGCAGATGGATATCCTTCATAAAGGAAACAGGTGCCTGATCTAGCACGCTTAAAGCCCTAGATCACAACATTCAAACATATGAAGGCAACCAAAGGGGAATTTAAGACATGTAACAGTATAATCCACATATCTTTGGTTTGCTCCTGTGTTATGTAGTGGTATGATGTACCAAACACAAGCGGGAGAAGAAGAGAAATTGCAACACACATTACAAAAATAAGCAAAAGCTTTCTGGAAGTTCCATTTATTTATTGGATCTTTATATACACCATTTGCCCTATGCTCACAGAATGGTGTACAACAAATTAAAATGCACCAATATATATTTCTGAAAATCAGTAGAAATATCCTCATCCTTAACTAAAAAAAGAGAAGATAGCATAAAATAGAAGCAAACTGACCTCAGTGAAT